TCGCCTGGTTCTCGAGTCCTGACAGGCTCCGGTCCGGTGGTCCGCGGTCCCGCGGTCCTCTGGTCCCCTGGACCCGTGGTCCTTTGGTCCCTTGGTCCTGTGGTCCTCTGGTTCCCTGGTCTTGAAGCCTTGCAAATATAGCAAAGGGCAATTTTTTTTTGATCCTTATTTAAGTTTTGTTTGATCCTCGGTGGCTAAATTTTTTTTTGATCCTTATCAAAATTTTGTTTGATCCCTCACCCGGTCCCCGCCGGGCTGCTCTTTCAGGCAGAAGGCTGCCCCCCATGCACCGCCCGCTAGGTTCCCCCCCAAACAAGGATCCTTGCTAGAAGGACCCTGCTAGGTGCCTGGTTTTTTCTCCCTACCCCCTAAACCCCTGAACCCCTGGCTCCCATCGGAGGCCTGCAAGCTGTCGGAGCGCCATGTGGAGTTGGCGCAGGAGTTGGAGCGATTGCAGGCCACTGTCACAAGGGCTCTCTTTAGGAACTTGATTGTATTCTTAGGAGAGTGAGACTCTAATTCCAAGGGGAGTCTGGAATGAAGAGACCTTGCAGCATCCCAGATACTCCAAACCGCCAAAGCAAGGAATGCACCTCTTTCTATAGCTCAGCGCATGTTCCATGATTGTGGGGGGTTTGGGAGTCATAGCAACACCAGCAGGACCAGTGGCAGCAATGATCGTCGTCATCGTCACAAGTCCGAGTAAAAGCAACAAACGCAGCATGTTTTGAGGAAACTGCTGTGTAACCAGAGACAACACTAGCAGTTTCAGGACACAGGGCCGAGTCCTCTTCAAAGCTTGTCACGAGTCTAAGCTGGGCAACGGTTTGATGGGTCAGGAGTCAAAACATGCCTTGATTCGACATGCCTGGTGTAACATCGTGGGCAGATGAGACAACGGGCAACGTCACGTGTTGCACGAGCTGTTGTCGTCGTGAAGGTCGTCGGCCTCCTCTTCCGTGTTGTCGTGCCGGTCGTGGTGGTAGCAGCATCACTGGTGGTGGTGCTGGTGGTGGTGGTGGTCATAGCTATGGTAGCAGACCTGGTAGCAAGTGTACTACTAACGGAGGAGAAGGGAGTTGTAGGCGTGGCGTCGTAGGCCGTAGGCTCACTTAATGGCCATGATGCTGATGCGACCACGACGGCAACAAAGTTCCCAAAGATGCACGTTCAATAGTATCTTTGCTGCCAGTGTTAGTAATGCAAAGAGCCAATCACGCATTGAACTGTGCCAGGCCAACTTGGCCGCAGAGCGCCGTCACACTGCTGGAGTGGAGGTAGGTGGTGGGGGTATTTGGAGAGCTGGTGCATTACACCCCAATCGTAATGCCCGACCCTAGATCCCCAAACCCCGAGATGCACCTTGAAACCCTAACCCAACCCCCGAGCGCTCAAGCCTGCTGCTTAGGCCCTAATTCCCAAACCCTGAAGCCGGAAGCCCTCACCCTTGAAATCCTAAAGCCTTCTAGAAACCTCAAAGCTTCAAAGCTTCCAAAGCCCGAAACAGCATGACAACAAAGTGCTCACAATACCCTTGCAAAGAATTTTCTAACAACTTCGAAAGGACGCCAATAAAGCCCTGAAGCAAACCTAGAACACACCCCTTGCAAACATTATACTGCCGCTGCAACAACCGAAACCCAGAAGCCGAAAACGGCACAGGATCAGCTGCAGACCGTGAGGTCTCAGAAGGGCTGTCAGGGTGAAGGTTGTTTTTTCCGGTGGTGGGGGGGTTCTTTTTTCTCGATAGGGTGTTCAACTGTCATTTAGATCGTGTGTTGAGTTTTAATTTACGGCTTAGCGTCAGAAGTTTAAGGGTGTGTTTTATGGTTTTAGGACGTAGGGCTGTAGGATGCAGGGTTTTGGAGCGTGTAGTTTCAGGGTTCGGGGGTAGGGCTTCGATTCTTGACGGTTTTGAGACGGTCTGAGGTGTCCCAAGAGGCAGGGACGATTGCTCTATCGAGTTTGTTGTGCGGCTTTGCATCACACAACCCTCAACCCTGAACCCTGAGGAGATTCACTTGCGGAACTACCATGATCAGGGGACTATGTGTCCACTTTTTGCATTAGTACTGCCCACGTTTGTGCTAGTGCTAGATGCTAGTGCTCATCACGAAAGCTAGCTTTGCAGGAGCTTGCAGGAGCTGTCGGTAAGTAAGAAAAAAGGGCCAACAAGACATGTTCGGACGTTTAGGTCTGATACATCGGGATTTAGATACATGTAGTTGGGGGGGGGGGGTGTTGCCCCCAACCCCTTGGCCCTGAGCTTTCGGGGAAAAGGGGTTGAGTTATCTTGCTAGTACTCGTGCCATTGCTTCTACGCTTGCCAGTAGCACAAAAGCACAGCATTGGCACTAGAAGTACTAAGCACGAGGTGACCGAGGAAGGAAACGTGCGTAGAGCGCCACTGTGTGCTGCAGTCCCGTGAAGCAGCACACAAGCCCCAGTCCCACTACCTTTCGTGGCCCCTCCTCAAGATGCACAGGCAGTGAAGCGTGCAGCGTGTCTCGAGAATTGGTGATGCAGCAGCCGGACGCTCAAATGTTGCTATCGCCGTTGTCCACGATGTCCGCATCTAAGCTGTCATAAGTTGAAGTGCGACTTCTAGTTCTTCCCAAATCTTCAGGAACACAGACGAAAGGTAAAGTGCTTGGGCCACATAGCCTGGGAAGTTCATCACAGCTGGGCATGTGCGCGGTGCCGTGGAGATGAGCAGGCTTATGCATAGTTGGGTTCTTGCACTCTGCAGTGCGAGGGCTCAGGCACCCAGTACACCCTGCCAAGCAACGGGGTTCCTTATGCCGTGCCAGCACCAGGAATACCAGGACAACGGGCTGTTGCAAACGGTCACCGCCGTCTTCGGAAGTACGCGGTTGAGCGTACTACGACGAAAGCTTGTGTCGAATGTGTCGAAAGGTTCAAGTACAGCATGCACATAACATACCATGGCACGATCTGAAGATGAGAGCCTCAATCTCAGAATTGCCTCGAAAAGGCAAGCCACGAAAAAATCAGGTCGAGCCCCACAGATCTGAGTGCCTGCAAGACATGCTGAGTGTTGCGGAGTGGCTGGTCGCAAGAGGCTTGAAGTCAAACGGAACACTAATATAGACCATCGAATTCCAATGACTGCTTGTCGGTAATAGGTCAGCCGCAATTCCTAAAGTTGGGTTGCAAACTTCGGAGCTCAGGATCGCTCGCCACCCGAGCTTGCTACAGCTGCGGCTTGCCCATGATTTCGTGTCGTCTTCATGGCACCAGCAAGTGCGAGTTCCAGCTTGCAAGAAAACGATGCCACCCTTCCCTCCCCTCCCCTCGAGTCAAAACATCGGTGGTCCAATGTCGATGATAGAAAACGACGGCGCAAAGCAATCTCAAAGGGAGCTTTTGCTCTCTGCAGGAAGCCTGCAGATCATCGGCCGCTGCAGATGACTGGGCGGAGCTGCTGACATTGATGGAGGCCACGTTGACAGCAGTGGAAAGTTCTTTCGTGAGGGCAGAAGTGCGACCACAGGAGGACGAGCTCGAAGAGTCGACCAGCAGACAAAAAGAAGCTAGGACCAACACAGTGCGGTGGTCCTGGCTCCATGTCCTGGTCATGAGCGTTGCTTTGCTCGGTCTTTGCATCCTGATGGGCATCGTGATGGACAACATGAGAAGCTCTGGCCGTGACGGAGCCGAAGCAAGACTAGCGCTGCAACCCGCCCGCATCAGTGTAAGACACTCTTTCCACTAGTTTCAGCCGTGCTCAGATGTTGCACACCCAGGTGGCCAGAGCCATTGTGGTCCAACCCTTGTGCTGGAAGCATGCAGGCTGGTGGCACGGGATGAACGTTGATTTCCGCAGCTCTCGGGGTGGGTTTGTTTGTCTTAGAGATCAGTCATCAGCCCTGCCAGCATGTTTTCTTTGAGCACTTTGAAACAGGATTCGTTGTGACATGCGCAGGTGAGTGGCCTAGGTACCGTTCCGTTGATCAACGCGAAATACAACCTTCCAAGCGCCTCGGAATTCGTCTGGTTTGTTGAGGCCTCCCCAGGCCTCATCGCAGACGTGAGAATTTGAGGTTTCGTCCGAAGTCTCTTTACTGGTAGCGCTGTGCCGGGATAGTTTCAGGTTGAATAAGGTTGAGAGTATACCGCACGCATCTAAGAATGCGCGATGGACAGCGCGTGGGTGAGAGGTCATGCACAAATTGGGGCAGCGGGGTAAAGCTCATGGTTCCCAATTGCTAGCCAGACCACACTGTGTCATCGAATCCATGTCTTTCCAAGGTGACCCGGCAGGCAACGTTTGGATGGAGGAGAGAAGTCTGAAGTCTCTGAAGTATCAAGTCCCCGCTCCGCACCCCTCCTGTTTGTAGCTTGTTCTTAGCATCAGGACGCGGCAGTGGTCATCGCTGACAAAGGTCGAACTTACTGGGGCACTTCCTGCAATGCCTCAGGCCCGCTTCCGAGTTTAGCCGTATTTGGCTGGAGTACAATGAAAGACTCTACGACACTTTTCAAGCCAATGGTCAGGCCACGATGAAAACTTCGATCCATCAGGTTACATCGAACTGCATCTCTTGGGGAAGAGGCTCGAGTATACCACTCACATCAATGGCGTCGGATGTGGCTGCTTCTTGGGTTGTGCGATAAAGCGTTTCTTCGCTATTGAGCTGCCGATTTGAAAAACCTCGGATCTTGTTGTCACTTGTTACTTGTTCTGTCAGCGAAGGTAATGCGGCTCTCTATTTGGTCTCCATGTCTACAAGTCCTTGGGAGTCCGCTTGTGAGGCGCCGGAATGCTCTTGCCCTAGGTCATTCGCTTGTTGCGTAGCACACTAGTGTGCGTGGAAACAATCACGAACGGCCTAGCTGCCTTCAGCACTCTGACTCGACACTCTTCGACGTCTAAGCTTTTCTCCTAGCATCCCTTGTGCCTCGACGGTGATGTCCTTCATCGACGCCTCCACGGTTGCGCAGCAGCTGACCGACGCTCTATCGGCAGCTCGGCACATGGCGTATGCACCAGTGGTGGCTGCTGTTGGCGATCAGGTTGCTGATCTCAACGACGCAGCTTCGGCGGCCAATTTGCTGCAGCAAGACCGCTCCGATACTTCGGCGGAGGATGTGCAGCCGTCCATGCTGTTTGTGGGATGCGCCGCTGGGGAGATAGCTGGGACGACGAGCCAGACGGCGGCACCGGCGGCCTTGGGCACATTCCAGGAGTCCGACGACATCGACGTGGAAGACCAGGCCTCCCTTCAGCGTTGCACCTGGTGGGGGGCGACGCCAATCACCAAAAGCGGCGGCCGCAGCCTCTACATTGTACACCACTGGCTGGCTCCGAGTCAAGCCCAGGAGCTGACGCATCGGCGGATTTCTGTGTCCAGCCGACCACTAAGGCGAAAGCCACGGCGCTCCTGGCATCCGTCGGCGGCTGTGTCCATTTCGACGTCGGGTATGGCCACCCCCAGCCTGATCGATCTCGGGACGGCGGCCGCCCAATGCGGAGGAGATCTTCGCGGCGCTGAGGGTGCAGGCGGGGGCCACCCCGACGAGGGAGCAGACAGCGACAGTGCCACTGGGGGCGGCGACGGTGGATGGCAGAGGCAAGGCGCCACCTGACGCCCTGATCCCCTCGACGACGCTGTTGGTGATGACAGAGGCCTCGACGAGCACGGGGCCGGCGGTGATCCACCAGGTCACCACGGCGACTGCGGAGCAGTTCTCGACTCTGGATCGGCGCTTTCGACTTTGTCTGCCAGTCAGTTTCTTTTGGGTGGCGGCGGTGGAGAGGCTCGAGTCATGGGAGATGCCAGCGGCGCCTAGGCCGGGGTGGCCCCAGCAGCCAGCCACAGAAGGCGATCGTTCCACCCCACTCCCGGCAATACGACGCACACGACCCGACAGGTCACGCCGACGAGGCCGAGATTCCCGACGATTACACATGCCGCACAAGATCCGGATGGAGCGGCGGGCGCGCGTCGGCGGAGGAGGTGGGGGGCCCAGCTCCCTTAGCTCCCTTTGGCGCTTGGCTTGCGGCGACCTCGCGGAGGTCCGACGCAAGAAAGAGGCGGGCCAGTTCCCACCCGAGAGACCACACGGCGCCACCACCGAGACCGACTATTGGTTCGTCCCGGCTAATGTGGCCGGCGAGTAACAATCGCGAACGGTGTAGCTTCAGCACTCTGGCTGGACGCGTCTTCGACGTCTAAGCTTTAAACCCACCCTCGCCACCCTAAAAGGGTTTCGGCGGCGGTCAGTCCTCAGCGGGTCGGTGCTGTGATGTGCTCCCGGCGCCGGCTGTATAGGTCCTGAACCTGCACGGCGCACGCAGCGCTACATATCCACATGACGAAGTAAAAAATCAGAGGCTCAGAGCTAGGAGTGCAGCGATTGTTCCGTAGCCATTTTGGCTCAAGCTATCGCCGGCTCGACCGCTTTT